GGCTGAACGATTAGGTATGTCTATGAAATGGGAAGTGTATCCAAGAACATATGTAAGGTTGGCAGACAATGGTCCTATAAGTTTATGTGAATGATCAGAATTCCCAGGTGTATAGTAGAGCTGACAAGAGGCAAGGTTGTGGTCACTGCTTGGTCACAGCCAGCTACCCAGAGAGACCGAGTAGTTGAACCTGTGGGCTTGGGACCATAGTCACAGGGACATCACGCTCAATTGGCATAACATACTATACAAAACATTGTTCCACCTCCTACTTTGGCGAGTAGTGACTGGGATCTTAAAAGCTAACAAGCTGCCATCTAGATGCAACGATGGGTCTCTCCTCATCCAGAGCAGAGAATGAAGAAAACGAAAATTCATGGAAACAATTAGTCCTAGCAACTGGTACACCATCTGATCTGCAGCCTATACGACTATGAGACCAGAAGAACTAGATATTGCCTGGCTACTACTGTCATCACTTGGAAGGGGATCTGTGTAGGAGATCCTTGATAGAGAGGGAGAACCATGTGGAACAAAACTCAAAATCATTTGAAGGAAAAAAAAAAAAAAAAGGGAAGGGGGACCAGGTTTGCTGGTCCAATAGAGCCTGGTGGAACCACTGAGACTATGGCCCCTAACTGCCCTTCAGGTCTGGAATTGAACCCACACCTGTGGTTTCCAGCCAAACAAAAGACAGACATATGAGTTGAACATTTACCTGAAGTAGATGCTCTCCTTGGAGTGAACAATCATGGGAGAAAGAAGGGCCGCTTATGCACAGGGAGACAGCTCAGGGGGCAGGAGTCCATGGAGGGATGGACACAGGGAAGAGGTAACTATGGAGAGGAAGTGGGGAGGGAGCTGTTGCATTGTGGTAAACTGTGGTCAATGTCATGAGTATATGTGAACTGCTGTATAGAAAGTGAATTTGCTCTGTAAATCTTCACCCAAATCACAATTAAAAAAAAAAAATGAAATAAGTCAGTCCAGCTTTAAGGACAAAAACACACACACACACACACACACACACAAACCTTTCTTTATACTTTTTTTTTTTTTCCATAAAATAAGAGAATATTTTACATACATTACATAGTGAGGAGTTCCTATGGGACTAGAGAATAGAGGAGTGATGAGCCCCTCCCTGACACCAGCCCCTCCCAGAAGCAGTCACCTTCCCTAGTTTATGTGCTTGTTTGAAAAGGTCAGCAAAGCTGCCGTCAGCGGCCAAGTGAGCCACCTTCCCACAGGCCTCAGAGCAATCATTAAACATAATGACCCGAGTCAGCAAGACAATGCTAAGTTAGATTTAGTGTATGTATTGTTTTTTTTCCCCCCCAGGAAGGGGATGTTGTTGTTAGGTGTTGTCAAGTTGGTTCCAATTCATAGTGACCCTATTGTCACTATGAATAGTGATAATATGAATTGTTGTTCACCGTACAACAGAAGTGGATAGTACATTTTTAAAAAGGTTTATATCAAGAAATATTATAGCAAAAAAAAAAGTTCAATATTTAAGCAGTTAGTTTTTGGTTATTTAGAGCCCCCTCAGTTTAGAGAGGCTGGAGGCTTCCATCACTGCTCCCACCACCCAGACACATATGCTCATTGGTCCTCCAGTGACTGAGGGGTGGCTTGGTTTTACTTTGTTGGTGGGAGCTTGCATGTGGGAGAACTAGCAGTATTTAGTACCCCAGCCGGGCCTGGCACGCATGCCTCAAACTTCTGGAGCACACTCACACATAATTACTGGTCCTGGCTTGGAGTTCTGACTGCAGTGTGGGGCTGCGAATATGCATTTCTAACAAGTTCCCACTACTTTCTAACAAGTGTCGCTACTTTTCCTGGTCCTGTACCCACTGTGGACAGGCAAGTCTATGCCTATCTCATGGCCTTCCAGGGCTACATATAAGAACTCCCAGAGAACATTGGAAGCATGCTGCTAACAAGTCACATGCTGTAGAATTCCACTTATATAACACTCTTGGAGTGACAAAGTCATAGAGATAGTGGTTGCCAGGGGTTAGGGACGGGGAGGTAAGTGGGGTTAGCTATACAGGGGAGGCAGGAGCGGAACAATTTTGCACCCTGATTATGGTTACATGACTCTACCACTGTGATAAGATGGCACAGACACACACATGCATAACTGGGGAGATCTGCATCAGCTCTGTGGACTGTCCCCATGTCAACTGATTCCTGGCTGTAATACTAAACTGCAGTAATGCATGGTGTTAACTGTGTGGGAGTGAAGGGTGCACAAGACCTCCCTGCACATTTGTTTACAACTCTTTATAACTCTATTTAAAGATAAAAGCTGTGGTAGTTAAGTTTGTGTGTCAACTTGGCTGGGCCTGGTTGAGTGGCTGGGCAGCTGGATGTAGCATTCCCCATGATGAGACTGGTAATCAACTCCATGGTGGAATCTACTGTGAGCAGCTGAATAGCTGCCTTAGGGATGTGGTCTGCTTCCAGTATATAAGAAGAAGCCTTGGGGAATGGTCTCTAGCTTATGGCATTCTTGAACCCTGCGTGTAGCCGAGTCGTCGTTCAGCAGCTTGCCATGCTCTGCCAATCTTGGGACTTTCAGTGGACTTTAGTTAATGGCCTGCCATGTGGTTTGGCAATATCGGGACTGTGCCTTTTTACTTGTCAACCTTGAGTTTGTCAGCCTCAACAGCCAGCAGCTGAGTGAAGAAAAGCCTCCAGCTTCAGTGGGCCGAGAGCAGGAAGCAGAGTTGAAGCCCAAGGTTGGGCTTTCACCCAGCCCCTAGAGCCTGGAACTTTGAACTGAGACTTAAAGCCTCCAAATTGTAAGAATAAACTCTTGTTAAATTGTAAGAATAAACTCTTGTTTGTTAAAGCCATCCCATTTGTGGTACCTTCTGTTAGAGCAGCACTAGGTAACCAAAACAAAAGCAAAAACAGCAACATTCCTGTCCTGTCTTAGACTAGTGGCAGGAGAGTCTAGTTGGGTAGGAGTTACATGAACTCCCCAGACTTCCTGGTGCAGTGAGGACTGCCTGATGGTTGCCCTTCTTCCCCACTGGAGCCCTGGGTGGGGAGCAGAGATGGGCGATCCAGGCCCTGGTCTTATCTTTATGGAAGCATCCTCCCAACTAGTGCGGCTGAGGGCCTGAACTCATCAACACTTGATTCCTTCCCCAGGGATACCCATTCCTGTGGAGGTGGATCCAGTGAAGGCCCATGAAGCCCTGGGCATCCATTGAGAACACATGTCCAGGAGGAGCCAGTTCATGTGGTCCCAAATGAACCCCCAGGGTTTGAGACAAGGTGGATAAGCAGATGTATGACCTCTGAAGTCTGACTGGAGCACTGACTTGTTTTGTAAAATAAGAGGGGAGATGAGGGTATATATTTGTGTAAAAAGGGAGTCCTGATGGCATAGTGGTTAAGCCTTTGACTGCAAACCAAGAGTTCAGTGGTTCAAACCAACTAACCACTCCATGGGAGAAAGATATCAAAGTCTACTTCTGTAAAGATTACAGCCTTGGAAACCCTGTGGAGCCAGAATGGACTTTGATGGTAATTGGATTGGTTTGGGTTTCATATTTGTACTGGTTTATATTTGCCTAAGTGAACTCCAGCAACTAGTAAGAAGTATAATTGCTCATGGGATAGGTGAAAGTGAAGCAGATAGGCACTTCTTGGAATAGGAAGGAGTTTTCATGGCACCCCTGCAGGTGTTACTTATGTTTCAGAGTTGTGTCAGTAGTTCTCAAGGCTGGTTTGGCCATTGATATTCACACCTATCTCTCATGCTGTGAAGGAAGGAAGCAACTTAGGTTGTGTTTGGATGTTCTTTCTGGTAGAGAGGAAGCTGGTGGGTTCATGGCAGGGCCTGGGGGCACCACCATGGGCAGTGGGCAGGGGTTCAGTTGAGGTTGTGTGGATAGCCCCTGTCTACCTTGCACCAGCCCTTTCCTCCATAACGTGGCTTGTATATCTGATGCCACAGAGATCCTTATCACTTCTGGTCTAGACTTTCCTGTCCATTTCCTGTTGCCATACCCCATCACTCGTGTGTCCTGGGCCTAATCTTCTTAAAAAGTGACTGGAAATCAAATTAACTGAGCTGCAGTGACAGCCTCAATTCCATAGAGGGCCCTGATGGAAAGCAGAGTGCCCTTCCTGCCACCTGCCCCTCTACCATTAGCCCTCCAGTTGCTCAGAAAGTGCTGCCTTGGCCCCATCTACAGCCTTCCTGTCCCTCCCCTTCTCTAAAGTTATTTGAGTGGTAGGGGGCTGTGTTCAGGCTCCTCTCCATGGCTGGACACTTTGGCTCACACATTGTTCTGTCCCTTCTTTTTCTCCCTTGTTGTGCCCCTACCCCTCCACATCTCTTTACAGCTAGCATCTTTCCTAGTTGTTGCATATAAACATCCCTATGGCCGTGAGACATGCCCTCCTTAGGCTCCAGCTCCACTTCACACAGGAGAGCTAGAAGATTGGGGTAGGGGAGAGGAGATCCACTCTGCAACTTGGCATGATGCTGTTTCCTTCCTCAAAACTGCAGTGGCCTATGTCCAGCTGCATTGAGCCTCCCATTAGTGCCTTCCAGGGATGACATATCACTGTTACGGAGACATGCCCAAGAGTGTACACACAAAGGGATCCTAGATCAACAATGTGCAAGCTGGCCAGGGAAGTAACCAACTTGCCCAGGGGTCACAGGACTGGGACCAGGCCAGCACTCTTTGGCTTCCTGCTGCCCCTCCCTCATGCTGCATAGATGCTGCCTTCTCTCTCCAGGGCTCTCCCAGCTCCAGCCAGGTGACATGTCTTAGAAGGGTACTGCTGTAGTCAGACCTTTTAGAGTGGGGTTGCCCCTTTCTGCATGCTAAATTCCCATCTGAGTCTGTTGTCTGACTGAGGCCAGTGGCTAGATACTGAGTGCTTATGGGGAGATTAATCGGTTCTCTCTGTTTCTCTCTGTCTGTCTCTCATTTTCCTCCCTCCCTCCACGTTTTCCTCCCCAGAGGGGCTTTCTCTGTGGTCCGACGCTGTGTCAAACTCTGCACTGGACATGAGTATGCAGCCAAGATCATCAACACCAAGAAGCTGTCAGCCAGAGGTAGGGCCACGGTCACTGGAGTACAGGGGTGTGGCAGGGCCACTCCCTCCCAGACTCAGGCTGGGTACCTGTGGGAAAGGGCTTCCTCCACTTGCATGTCCCAGACTGTCAGACCCAGCTGTCTAGGCTGTGTGGCTGCCAGGAGGGCAAGCGCAGGTGGAGTGGGATTCTTGGGGTGGAGTGCTGGGGAGACAGGGAGGCTGCTCAGAGTGTCTGGGGAAGGGAGAAGGACCCAGTCAGGCTTGGCTGGGGCTATGCACCCTTAAATCCTGGGAACCTTTGCGCCCCCCCCCCAATACCCTAGGAGCATCATTGCTATCTGGCTTGGGTGTTTATGAAGCCCCCTTTCAACTTCCCAGACCTGTAGGAGTCTCTGCCCCCAGAGCTGTATGGAGAGAGGTGAATGGGGCCAGGTTGCTGCTGGTGGTGAGATAAGTATCTTCCACCTTGCTGAATGGTGGACAAGAGGATGACTTCAGAAAGACTTTAGTTAAGGTGGAGCTTATAGTTTGCTTTTTGATTGGGCAGAATCCTGACTCTGGGACCTGGTAGCTGTATGAGCCCCGGATACTTGCTTGTTGCTTTCTTTCTTTCTTTAATTCAGTTTGCATTTAATTTATAGAGTTGAGAGAAGGAAGACAGACAAAAGCAGGTCCTGACATCCAGGAGCTAGCCTTCTTAACTCTGCTGTTGATTGTAAACAATTAGATCATCAGCCTCACACAAAACCACTCTGTGACTATAAGGGATCGAAACAAAACCACAACCACTCCACACCCATGTTATTCACATATAAAACATGAGCATCATCCAAGCCACACAATGACCCAGCACGCCTCTATCCTGGATAATATGAGTATTCACTTTTCTTCACCAATTACAGCTTTAGTCTCTATCTAATCTTCCTGCCTCAGGAGATTTATTAAGAAGCCCAATCATAGAATTACCCCAACTTCCTCACAGCATCCAATCCAGAGCAAAGCCTTAAACCCTCTTCCATATCACCTAACACAAGCCTAAATGCTGTAAGTCCTGTCTTTCTTTTAAAAGTAACATAACATACAAGTAACCATTTTTTAAATGCATTTTTTAATTCACATATAATTTATGTACAGTGAAGTACACAAAACTAAAGTGACATGGGCCAATGCATTTTTTTTTTTTTTTACAGTGTTCCCTCCCCTCCCCTCCCATCCCTGGCAACTAACAAAGAAAGTTTCCCTCCATATATAAACCTTTCCTTGACCCTCCACAACAATGAACTAATACTAATTTGTCCTTCTGTGATAGACTTATTTCACTCAGCATAATGTCCTCTAAGTTCATCCATATTATGGGGTATTTTGCAGACTCTACATTTTTCTTTAATGCTGCATAGCATTCCAGCATGTGTATGTACCATAGTTTGGTCATCCACTCTTCTGCTGATGGGCACATAGGTTGTTTCCATCTTGTTGCTATTTAAATAGTGCTGTGATGAACATGAGCGTACAGGTATCTGTTCCTATCCTGGCTCTCACCTCTCTAGGATATATACCTAGTAATGGGATAACTGGGTCACATGGTATCTCCAATTTCAACTTTCTAAGGAATTGCTATATTGCTTTCCACAGTGGTTGTGTCACTTCACAGTCACACAAGCAGTGTCCCAATCTCTCCATATCCTCCCCAGCATTTGTTATTTTCTGTCTCATTGAACCTTGCCATGAGTGCTGGGGTGAGACGGTGTATCTCATTGTTGTTTTGATTTCCATTTCTCTGATGGCCAATGATTGTGAGCATCTTTTCATGTATTAGCTGACCACCTGAATATCCTCCTTGGTGAAGTGTCTATTCATGTCTTCTGCCCATTTTTCAATTGGATTGTTAATTCCTTTGGTGTTGAGGCATTGGAGTTTTTCATCAATCTTAGCGATAAGTCTCTTGTCAGATATGTGATTACCAGCAAATATGATTTTTTTTGCTGTCATTTTTGTCATGTGCTTTTTCATTGTGTTGATTCCTTTGTTCCATATAATCTTCTATGCTGAGCTTGTTTTGTTTATGAATCATGTTATCACTTCCTTCATTGCTATTGTTTTAGTATTTGCTGAATATTTATCTTGGTCCTCTTCTTTATTTTGATGTAAAGGTTTATCATTTTTCTTTGAGGTTACCCTGTGATTTATAGTTTTCTTCCCAAATGTAGAACAGTCCGTTCTATCTTATAATTGTTTTGACTTCTCTACCATCTAGAAGTTCTGTAACAACACAGACTTTCCCCTCTTTTTGGTTTGTAGTTGTCCTCATTTGTCAGTTGGTGTCTCTGGTTGCCTGTTTACAATCTTGTCGGCTTATTTACTTTGTATACTTCCATAACGAGGTTGGTTTCTGAGTTATATCATCATATGTGTTAATGGTCAGTTGTTGTTGGTTGTTGTTGCTTCTCTTTCCAAAGG